TATCATCTTACATACCACGTGTAACGACACTGAAAGTGAACTGACCTGGACTTAATATAAAGAACCAAAAAGTGAAGTGATGAAAGTTATGATTTTGTTTATTAAAATGATTAAATTTCAATTGAAAATAAAATAAATTATAATCAAAAGCTTTTCTTCTTAACTTCTTATGACTTAAATAATTTACTTTCTTGGCTGCATATAAATCCGATAAGTTAAATAGCCAACACTCATAGAAAATAAGATTTTCACAGAGAAATCCAACCAGAACAAGAAGTGAAACTTTCGCTTTGCTTCAGGAATTGTGTTGTCATCAAGTTTCAGCATGAAACGTCTCGCTCCAATCACCCAATTTTTGATGTAACGATGATAGTCCAAAGTTGATAAGTCAAAGTTAAATTTGCTTCTAAATTTGTTTTTCCAGAATAAATAAATTAATTTTGTTTCAGGTTTAAGAAAAATATTTTGCTTACCTTTCGTTTAATGAAATCAATTTGAAGAGAATTTGAAAATTTTTATTGTCCCATTCCCATGATGAATTCAAGAAATATTCGAAAACTTTTAGTGACTCAAAAATCTTTTTTTGTAATTTCAATGCCCAAGTTTTCTTGCGAGTAAGCAACATACATAAATCAATGAAACATGCAGGAAGAATTTGAAAAATTGTAAAGTAAATCAAATAAAAGTAGTAATTGGAACACATCCGACCACCGGGATACCAAATAACTTTCATTGCAGGATAATCTTTGTAGATATCTTGACTCAATTGTAAGAATTCATTCCACGATATTGGAAGTTGTTTACTTGAAGTGCAGTTGTAGATTTTAATTTCTTTATTCTCGACTGACGCAACTGAAGCACCAGCGACTATGAGTGAGTTGACAACGAAATCACAAGGAATCAAATCTGGTTTGATATTTCCATTTCCATGAACTGTTCTAAGAAATCCTGAACTTGCTCCAATCAAGACTCCCATCGGACCATTCATACTGTCAACCCATCCTGGATATGGTTCCATAAATGATGGACATACCACTGAAGGTCGCACAATTGTTATCGGAAGGTCTTTTGAACGATCAGACACAAGCTTTTCCGACAAGTTTTTTGAGAAAATGTAAGTGTTTGGAAATGTTTGCATTGCAAATTCATTCACAACTGCAAGCTCGTCAATTTTGTTTCCTTCAACAATTTCTATAATCGTTTTATAATCATAAATTGGCTCGTAAATTTTCTCATAAATTTCCTTCTGATTCGTATTGGAAAAAGCTGTTGAAACATGAACAAATGCTTGAAGATTATCAAATGTTTCAGCTAAATCAAGCATGTTGCGAGTGCTGATTGTATTCATCTGAATTGCATTTTTTAATGGATCATCAAACTTCACAGAAGCTGCACAATGAAACACGAAACTGACATTTTTCTTTAGTTTATTTACATCTTCATCAGACATCCCAGCCAATGGTGATATCATCAAATCAGCTTCAATAGGAATCAACTTTTCAAATATTTTTGGGTTCTTTCTTTTCACAATTTCAAACACAATCAAGCTTTTAAAATCATCAAATCTTTTTGTAATGCTTTCATCCTTTTTCGGTCGTAATAAAATGTAAACTTTGTCAATTTCTTCACAATCTCTGAGTAATTTCTCTACTAAAACTTTTCCTAAAAATCCAGTTGCTCCGGTTATGAGAACCGACTTCGAAGCGTAAGTCTTTGATACGAAAATTTCACGCATCTTACCGTAGTCAAGGAACAAATCAAACTGATAGAAGAAAAATCAAAAGCGACTATAAAAAGCTGCAACATAAGCAAATGAATTCATTAAGAGGTCAACAACATTGCACAATTGCTGACAAATTACCTAGTAGAATAAAAATGCCACCGTCAGCAATTATTTTTCGTTGTACAAGCGTCAATATAACTACGAATTGTTTACAAGATCTTTAAGAATAAATCGTTTATGTTTTTAATTGCTTCTTTCAATCATAATGATTGCAAGATCTGCTTATATAGACATAAATCATGAATTCTAAAGACAAGGAAGAAAACATTCAATTAACAATTAAAAAAGTTTATTGTAGAATAAAAAGAAGAGTGAAAGAAATATCAGCATTGCCTTGCAATGACAATGAATTAGTTTGCCTTTTGAAACATTATGGATAAAAAACTTTGATGAAAATTACTGATAAATGTCAATTAAATGAATTAATAACCTTTTGATATTCCAAACATTTTGATGAGTCAATTTATCGTCAACTTTTAACCGATGAAGATGGAGAAGGAACTGCAGAAAAGTGAAGAATTTGACGTTTTTGATATAATGGAACCATTTGTGAATTTCGCAAGGTTCTGGGGACTTTGGCCGCAAAGTCTCAGGGTGAACATTTTTAATTGCACTTGAAATGCAATTTATTAATTTTATTTACTCATTTCTCATAGCGATCATCACCAGGAATAAGCATTCCAAGTCTTTTGTGGTATTTTGTAATCGTCGCGATTTATATTTACGTTATCTACATAAATCTCGACAAGAAATTCTGGATGTCATTTATCGAAGTGCTTAATTGTGATTATCAAGTGTATGGCACTTGGCTTCAAATTCTCTCAAGTCTCATGATAAGTAAATAATGACATAATTAGATGAAACAATTTTCTTAATTCGATTTTATATCTCAGGCTTAATATCAATATTAATGACTTTGTTCACATTCCGTAAAATTTGGACACTTTTTGAAATGATAGTTGACGTCGACATCATTTTGAACAAGGACTTTAGTCTCATCGTTCCGAAAAGGGTTCATCGAACAATCAATTACATTACTGTCATTATCTTGCATGTCATTTATTTAGTTCTTCTTTGTGTCACTTATTACATCTTCAACCTTACTTTGGGACTCGATTCTTATATCATTTGCATTGATTATTTGTTGGCGAATATTCCTTATCTGGCATCAATGATATCATTTTATTTAACTACAAACGGAATATCGCGACGATTTCATCAAGTGAATTGCATTTTATTGCAACTAAGTCCAAACGACATTCCCAAAGATACTTTTGAAGTTTGTTCTCGATCATCAAAAAATGATCGTCACATGCCGACGATTGAGTTAAATGAAATTTACTCAATTTATGGAAATCATTTGAGGAAAGGTTCTCCAATGTCTCCACCAATAAAACCTTTAAGAGACAAGAATGAGATTTCGAGGGAAATCAAAAAGTTGACAACAAAACTTGAGAATCGCGAGGAAAATCTTTGGACAAAAATTCATCGTCGGCGTGTCATTGAAATTGAAGAATATAAAATGGTGAAATTAATTAACCCTGACGATATCATTGAACATTTGACCAAACTTTTGGATATTCATGCTGTCCTATTAGACTGCATTGGGTTGCAAAATCAAATCATTTCACTTCAAATTCTTTTAATTGTTGCAGAGATTTTCATTTTCGAAGTTTATGCTATGTTTTCGATTTACCGTACATTCAACAACACTGCAATAAGATCGATACCTTTGGCATATGGAAATGTTTTCTGGGTTATTTTTTACTCTATTATGTTGTATTTGATCATGTCAATAGCAACGGATTGCGTAAAGCAGGGAAAGAACATGGGAACTTGCATTCATAAAGTCATAAATAAGATCGGAAGTCACGCACACCCAAAAGTCATTGAAAAGGTAAAAGGAAAGTTTAATTAAATATTATTTTATGATCTTCCTTTTTTTATTTCAGCTTTCAACAATGTCACATCAAATAACTATGAGATCGCCTGATTTCAATTGTGGATTGTTTTCATTTGATTGGGAATTGATATTCTCCATCATATCAGCGACAACGATTTATCTCGTTTTCTTGCTGCAATTTGATATCGCGAAGAACGCAAATGACGCTGAAAAGATTTAAATTTTTATGTTTTACGTTTTGAGATTTAGTGTTTCGTATTTTTCTATGTTTTCATGAGAATTTGAGAGAGAAATTAGTTAAACTGAAAGCTCAAGTTGACTGCAAATTTCTTATCAGTATTTAACGAGATTTTGCTGGAGTTGGATTAGAAAGAAATTAATTCAGAATTTTTCAAAAACTTAAAACACTTTCAACGTTTTAAAATCAACTTTTTTGTGAAATTTATGTTGTGCACCTTTGAGAAATATTAAATTAATGTTGCAAAAATGTGTTGTGTGAAAATAAATTGGTTGGAAAATCATTAAATGGATAAGAAATCAAAGAAAATGTTTTTTTAAACATTTCAAAATTATTTAAATGATTTAAATAATTATAATTTTGAAGAATTTTCTTAATAAACTGTCACACTCTTCTAATATAACCAACGAAATGAATGTTTTTCAAGTGCTTTTAATCACATTTATAGTCTCGGTTGAAGCTAAATCTACGAGCCAAGCTGATAACGCAGCTCAACCGAGGTCCTTAAAGTCGGAAATGTATGTGGAAAGTAGTGTAGCGAACGATAATATTTGCAACAATCATGAAAAAAATGTGGCATTCGACGTTATCTTGTTTGAAAAAAAGTCACATAATGAGTCAAAAATAAGAAAAAAAAGGCAAGCGCCATACGATAACAGAATTGAGTATAAAAACCGACCGCGGTCTGATCAAAAGAGTTTAGTGATTGTGTTTGACGCTACTGGTTCTATGCACGATGATCTTGAACAACTTCGTGCTGGTGCTAAACAGATTGTCACTGAATTATCAGCACGTGATGACAATCCTATTTTTAACTACATCTTAGTCGTGTACAGAGATCCGAGTGAGTGAAATTCTTATCAGTAATTAAATAATTTAATGTGTCAACATATTTATGGGTCAACACTGAAACTTATCAAATGTTTATGTTTATGTTTATTTACTAACAAATTATTTTCACACTCAGCTGTTGAGCCGGCTTTTCAAACAAAAAATCCCGACGATCTATTGGCTAAGCTAAAACAAATACAAACCATTGGTGGTGGCGATTGTGCCGAATATGCTTTGACTGGATTGAAAGTTGCTTTGCAGTTGGCATTACCAAACTCTCTGGCTTATGTTTTCTCCGATGCCACAGCTAAGGATCTTGCATATTACGAAGAAGTCTTAGGGTTGATACAGAAGAAGCAAGCGACAGTAAATTTTCTCCTTACTGGTGATTGCGATGATCCTGCTGGGCCTGGTTATCAAGTTTATGTCAAACTGAGTCGCGCGAGTAATGGTCAAGTTTATGACATGAATAAAAGTAATGTGAAGGACGTTCTACTTGCGATAAGACATACTGTGAACTATAATTATGCAGCCTTGACATCTGTTGATGCTGACTCAGCCGGCACGTCCAACACAAAGTTGAATGTTGATAAAAGTATTTCTGAACTGAGCGTCAGTTTGTCTGGGAAAAATCCTAGACTTACGATAACAGACCCGATGAATGAAACAGTCAAAAGTGGTGAAGAACTTTCGTTGATGAATCTTAAGTTAGTGAAAATCAAAGACCCAGTCGATGGTTTATGGAACGTTGAAACTGAAGCTGAATCTTCTCATTCAATTCGTCTTGGTGGCATCAGCGATTTGAAATTTGATTTTGGTTTCAGCACAGAAGTGCCTGAAAAGAAATCCGAGACATCCTTCCAACCTCTTGCCAGTGTCCAAAATATTTTATCAATCTTCGTTATTGATCCATCGTTAGTTAAAATTCTTTCAGATGTCACAATCATTCTCTTTCCATCAAATTCTCATGAAATGTCAACCAAATTTAAATTGACATTGAAGAAAGTCGATGACCAAATTTACGTCACAAAAGCTTTCGACATTCCACGACAAATGTTTAAAATTCAATTAAATGGATTCGATGTGAGTGGAAATCCAATTGAACGACTTATTTCAACAGGAATTCAAGCAAGTCAAGGAAGTAAGCTAAAAATTCATTCAAATTTTTATTGATTAATTAAACGTTGACTTGAAACTTTAAGGCGTACCAGAAGTCATAATTGAAGCAAATGAAATGCAACTTGGGGAACATCAAAAACTTTACATGAAATGCATCGTCTTTTCTCATACTCCAGTTAACATTTCTTGGGTGTTTAATGAAAGAATTTTAAGACAATTAAAATCAAAGTAAGAAAAAGTTTTCTGATATTAAAAAATTTGTCAATTTTTAAAACCAAAAAATTCTTTTCAGTCAAAGTAATGAATTGGAACTTGTGATAAATAAAATTGAAAAAGTGAATGCCGGAAGCTACAGTTGTGAAGCAATCAACACTTACGGTGGTGAGAGAAAATTAATTAATGTCACAGTTTCATCAGCTCCAAGGGTCACAATAAGTCCGAAAGAAATTCTTGACCGAGAAGGATCTTTTGTTACTTTACAATGTCATGTTAGTGGTGATGAAAATGGAAATTATAACATAACATGGCGTGATTTTAGAGGAAAAGTTCTTCAAGTTTCTTCGGTGAGTAGCTAAAGGTTAAAAATAATCTTTGATGACTTCTTTTAATTTACTTTTCACAGGAGCCCAACAAAGATTCCTTCAGTCTCAAAGCTACACGCGATTTGAATGAGAAAACCATAAGCTGCGAAATTTCAACATTAAACTCAATTTTGATATCAGACACTGCACACATGCTAATTGAATATCCTCCAACTTTCAATGACCAGCAAGAAAATCAAAACTTAAAATTAAAAGTGAGACTTGGTGAAGATTTTGAGTTGAATTGTGAAACCGATGAAAATCCAGAAGGAGAAGTTCGATGGTTTTTTGTTGCAAAAGACTCGAGAGAAAGTCGCGAACTTCATTCTAATGAAAAGATTTTGAAATTGACGTTCAAGAATGAAGGCGAATATCAATGCAGTGTGACAAATTCTCATGGAAAAGCTAAACGATCGTTTAATGTCTCTTTGTATCCTCGAAGTCATCCTAGAATCTTAATGGACCAAGATGTGATTATTGTCAACGAAACTGATTCAATTGATTTAGTTTGTGAAACAAAAAATTCACTTCCTATAAAGAACTTTAGTTGGTTTAATGAGAATTCAAATAATTATGAGACATTCACGATTATTGATGAGACTTCTGATAATTTCAAAAGTGTTCTGAGAATAAATGACATTGACGAATCTGATAATGGAAGCTTTGAATGTCATTTGATTAATGAAGCTGGTGAAGATAAAAAGACGTTCGAGCTTTTGGTTCAAACCAAGCCAAAGATTGATGTTATAATGTTGAAGGTTAATGATACTGAAAATGAAGTTTCTGACACCGCAACGATTTTACTTGGTGACGATGTCACTCTTGATTGTATCGTTGATGGATTTCCACTACCACGCATGAAATGGATTTTAAACAACGTTCACATAAAGACTGATGAAAATGAAACAAAATTAAAGTTAAAAGTCCATGAACGTCATCAAGGAATTTATCAATGCAGCGCATCGAACATTTTAGGAGATTCTACAGAAAATATTCGACTTGTTGTCAATTATCCCCCAAAAGTCGAAGGTTCAATACAAAAAGTTTTAAAAGTTCTTCAAGGAGATTTGGTTTCTTTAGATTGCAACATTGCTTCGTCACCAGACCCAAACTTGTCCTGGTTCTTTGATGGAAACTTTTTAATGGAAAGCAATCAAAAGTTTCGTTATAAAGATCAAAACAATTCAATCAATTTTGCTGCAAACTTAACCAACACTGGTGAATTTTCATGCGTGGGTGTCAATGATTATGGAAAAGCTGAAATGAAATATTCTGTGGTTGTTTTGAAGGAACCAACGATCCTTGACGGTGACGATGTTAACAAGAAGATAAAAATCGGAGAAGATTTAATTCTAACATGCGATGCTTCAGGTTATCCTTTCCCACAAATTTCATGGATCAAGTACAACAATTTAATAGAATATGGAACAAAACTAACAATAAATAAAGTCACGTCAATCGATTCAGGAGTTTATATTTGTGAAGCAACAAATGAAGTCGGGAAAACTCAGAAAATATTTTACGTGACAACTGTTGAAGAACCGAGAATCGTTTCAATGCTTAGCAATCTTACACTTCACAGAAACACGACACAAGACGTTGAATGTCGTGCAAGTGGCACACCAACGCCAACAATTCAATGGTTGCACAATAAAATGACTTTTGGCAATGAAAGTAGATTGAATTTCAATGCTCGAATGGAGTCAGGTTGGTATCATTGTAAAGCTGAAAACTCTGAAGGAACAGCGGAAAGTTCAATGTTTTTGAATGTTTTAAATAAACCAACTTTAAAAATGAATTACGAAATGATTAACAAGGAAGTAAAAGTTCGGGAAGGTGATGAATTAGAATTGAATTGTCCATTTGATGATTTTGATTCAATAATTTGGATGCATAACGATGATTCAATTAATAATTTAAATTATCAGCAAAATGACAATATTTTGACAATTAGAAACGTTGACCACACTGCAAATGGGGATTGGAAATGTTTGGTAGCAAATCAAGCTGGTGACGATTTCTTTTCATTCAAAGTTTTGGTTTTAACTTCACCGAAATTGCACACCAGTTGGAACTTGAATAGCAGAAGTTCTGAATTTCTGTTTACAGAATCAGATATTGATGAAAAAACTTTTAACCTTGGCGATCGAATGGAACTCAACTGTTCAGCTTCAGGTTTTCCTGAGCCAAAAATTGTGTGGAAGAAAGCGACAGACGTGATTGCAAATGGAGAAGTTTTAGTCATCGAAAATCTTCAATTTCACCACAGCGATATTTACACATGTCGAGCTGAGAATGATCAAGGAACAGTCACGAAGTTCTTCAAGGTTGAAGTCGTCTCACCACCATTCATCGATTCTTTCGATGTTCAAAGAAATTTCTTTAAATTTCCTGGAGATTCACTAACAATGCTTTGTGACATTATTGGAAGTCCGATCCCAAATATCTTTTGGTTTAAAAACAAGTGAGTATTATTGCAGTGAAGTTATTATCTGAATTATAATTTAATTAATTCCTCAACAGTGTTCTAATCGAAGAAGAAGTTGAAAATCATTTAGAATTCAAAAAACTGATATTAAGCAATCATGGATCATACAAATGCATTGGAAAGAATTCCTTAGGGATGGAAACGATTGAATATCACGTCAGTATGATGGATCCAGCTAAAATTATCACTGCCGAAGAAGAACAAAAAGTTCTCCGCAATGAAAATTCAATGACAATTTCATGCACCGTCAGTGGGAATCCTTTGCCAGTTATGTCGTGGATCAACAACGGTCACATCATTTCAACAACTTCCAAAGTTAACTTCCCTAAATTGTTCGACACTGTTCATGACTCAGTGATTTATTTCAATGGATATGGCAATGCCATCACTTATTTAGATCCATTTAAATTAAAGAAAATTATGGAAAAGTTTTATTCAAAACTTACTCAAATGAAGGAAAATTCATTGAAACTTGACGTTGTGTTTAAGGAACGAAGCTTGAAAACTTCGGGAATTTATCAGTGTTACGCTTACAATGCATTGGGAAGAGATGAGAAAGCAGTGGAAGTTAAGATTAGTGAGAAGCCTTACATAAGTGAAAAGCAGGCGGAAGAACTGCAAGAAACTGAAGTACTTGAAGGTCTGCCATTACTTTTAACTTGTTTGTTAGCTGGCGAACCAACGCCGAGAATCTTCTGGTACAAAGAAAACATTCAACTTCATGCTAACGACACAATTAAGCTTCTTAATGAAAACAGATTTCTGAGCATTGCTGAAGCATTTTCATGGGATTCTGGAAATTATTCTTGTAAAGGCGTGAATCAAGTTGGCGAGGAAAAATTGAACTTTAAAGTTTCAGTTTTGTCTCCACCGAAGTTTGTAAGATATTCAGTTGAACCGCTCTTACACACAAATGATTTCAAGAATTCGAAACTAAAACATGACAGAAGAGAACGCAACACAATTGTTGTTAAAGTAATGAAAGACGAAGACGTAACTTTGGAATGCTTGACTGAAAGTTCACCAAAAGCGAAAGTTCACTGGCTGAAAATTGACTTTTATGATTCAAGTAAAAATATTCTTTTGGATGAAGATGAAGAAAATCTTGTAAAAAGATTAATTAAAGTGATTAAAATCATTTTACTTACTGAATTTTTGTCTTTCTAGTTTATTAAATCGATTAAGGAATCGTCAAGTTTCATGTGTTACATCAACAACACTGTTGGAAATGTCCACAAAATATTTCAAATCGATGTTCAGTACGCCCCAAAACTTGTTGGCGATGAGAGAACAGAAGTGAAACATTCAATTAAACTCCATCATGGTGTTAATTTACTGTGCAATGTTGAAGGAAATCCTGAACCTCAGATTCAATGGATGTTTGTAAGAATTCAACAATAATTCAATTGAAAAATTAATTAAAACATTTTTAAATATTTTCCAGAATGGAACAAAAATTCTCAATTCTGACAAACGATTCTACTTCTCAAACGACAATCAAATCATGAGAATTATTGACATAAACAAAAGCAATCAAGGAAAATTCTTATGCAATGCTGTAAATGATTATGGAAGATTGCAAAGAGTTTTCTATGTTAATGTTGAAGTTCCAATTCAGTGGTCAGCTTTTGGTCCATGGACAATTTGCAGCGTGTCATGTGGTTCTGGTGGAATTCAATATCGAACGAGAATCTGCCTTCTTACAAATGGTTTACCAGCAACTGCTGAAGATTATCATTGCGTGGGTGAGAATGTTGAATCACGTAAATGTAACCAGCTTGCTTGTCCAATTAATGGCGGTTGGGGAAAGTTCTCAGAATGGTCGAAATGTCCAAAATGTATCGATGATGCAATTCATGAACTTCCAGTCACATCAAAACGTGTGAGAAAATGTGATTCACCTCAGCCTTCAAATGGTGGTTTGGACTGTTCTGGATCTGAAATCGAAGAACTTGAATGCAAGATTGATTTCTGTCCAGTTCATGGCGGTTGGTCGAAATGGAGTCCTTGGAGTGCTTGCAGTAAAACATGCGGAAGTGGTCATAGAACACGAAAGAGAGAATGCAACAATCCTTCACCAAAGTACAACGGAACAAGTTGCAGAGGTGAAAACGTGGAATTCGAAGAATGCAAAATGAAACTTTGCTTAGCACAAAACCTTAAAAAATCTTTTCGTTCTGACTATGAAGATGATTTCGAAGAGAAATCGAATGAGTCACGTGAAAAGTACAAAGAACTTGCTGAACTCGAGATTAAAGATGAGAAAGGAAATGTTCGAAATTTTCAATTTATGAATCATCGTGAAATTGAATTTTCATCACCAATTCGTGACTTGATGGGACCAAACATTCCAAAAATTATAGTCACTTTGGACACTTACAAGCCGATATCTGAAGAAACATTTCTTGAACATTTAAGTCGTCTTAGAGTTGTTCATGATGAAGCACAAACAGAAAGTTCATCATCAAATAATCTCGAATTAGATTCAACAGAAAGTGTTGGAAAAGTTCGTAAAAAATGCATTCGAGGCTTTGCATACAACACAAATAATGATCAATGCGAAGACATCAACGAATGTGAAGAGCAACATCAAAATAATTGTAAACATGACGAAAAATGTGTCAACGTTTTGGGAAGTTTTCGATGTGACAAAAAGCCACAACGAAGAATGAAATCATGAATCGCTTAAGTACAACATATTTTATTACCAATAATTCTCTTTACTTTATGTTATTATGCTTTATGTTTACCATATCATCTTACATACCACGTGTAACGACACTGAAAGTGAACTGACCTGGACTTAATATAAATAACCAAAAAGTCGAAATGTTTTAAGGTTCAAGTGAAGTGATGAAAGTTATGATTTTGTTTATTAAAATGATTAAATTTCAATTGAAAATAAAATAAATTATAATCAAAAGCTTATTATGACTTAAATAATTTACTTTTTTGGCTGCATATAAGTCCGATAAGTTAAATAGCCAACACTCATATAAAATAAGATTTTCACAGAGAAATCCAACCAGAACAAGAAGTGAAACTTTCGCTTTGCTTCAGGAATTGTGTTGTCATCAAGTTTCAGCATGAAACGTCTCGCTCCAATCACCCAATTTTTGATGTAACGATGATAGTCCAAAGTTGATAAGTCAAAGTTAAATTTGCTTCTCAAATATGGTATCAATGACAACATTTTATTTAACTACAAATGTCTTGACAAATGTAATATCGCGAATTTTCATCAAGTGAATTGCATTTTATTGCAATTAATTCCAACCGACATTCCCAAAAATACTTTTGAAGTTTGTTCTCGATCATCAAGAGATAAGTTATAAAATTTCTATAACAAATAATTACCTAAGTTAAGAAAAGACAATATTTTATAGTTTTTGTTTATTATATAATTTTTATTTCACTTTATCGGAATTTTATTATAATATATTTTTTTCTTGTTTTCTCATATTGAAATTTCTTCATCAGATATCTTAAATGTTTTCTAAATATTTTCATGCAGAACGTAAATATTATTAATGAAAAGAAGTTTTGTTTTCCATAAGAATGTTGTGATATTTGTCACACGAGTTGTTTTGCCATGAAAACTAATCATAATTAATCATAAAGAGGAGAAATAGACAAAAAGAAAGAAAACTAAATTTATCATGCTTAACTTCATTTTTTAATTGTTTTTAACGAGGAAATTTTTCATTTGTCGGAAAATAAAAGCCGAGATTGTGCTGTTAGTTGAATATTGACGGAGACAACTGATGGGCAACTTCTTATAATTCTCCAATCTACTTTATAAGTATTGTTTAATAATATTAATTAATAATTACAACAAAAAAATAAACCTCGATTTATATTCACGTAAAAAAGGAATGCTAAATTAATTAAACTTTTTTTCTGTCTTATCATGTAGATAGTTATTTTATTGATCTTCCTTGTTTTAGAGAGAAAAAAGAAAAACGTTCACATTTTATTCTTCTGCGTTTAATTCAGTGAAGAAAAAATCGATACCAAAACAAAAAAGATGAAAATAAGGAGAAAATTCTATTACAATAATCAGAAATATTTAGAAGAATTCTTGTTAATAACTTTAAATGTATGTAACTCTAAATGAACTTATTCGTTATATTTCTCTCGTTTTCGAAGTTGCTTCTTACTTATTCTCTCAAAATCAACTGCAAATTTCTACACAAAGAAATTTCTCATTTTTCTTCCTTCTTTTAAATACTGAAAAATAAATTTTCCCTTTTCCTTCATTTCATCCATTTATAAACATGCATCGTACTTCTTTTAATGATCGTCACACTTTCTATGATGCCCGTCGCTACAATCTTCAGCTAAGATCTCAGTTGTTTACTACTAGCAAAACAAAGACACTTCAAACTGCTTAAAACCAACACAACAATTGTTAATGGAGTCCCATTGACGTTGAACATTTATATAAGAAATTTAATCTTTATAAATTGTTTTTGTTTTCGTTCTGAACATTATGCAAATGAAAAATTGTTATCATAGCTACAATTTTATCTAAATTCATCTGACTTTTCATATCAGTTATTGAAGATTTCCCTTTCATTTCTATCTTTCTCTTAATATTTACAGAACTAAAATTTTAGTTTTTATTCATATACGTATTGAAATGTTGATGCTAGGTAGAAGATTTTTGAATGGATGACGTTGATGAGCGCTTAATTATGTCTACTTAACTGGTGACTGAAATTTCAATGAGATGAATCAGAAATTATAAATAAAAAAAGAAGAATAAAGTCATCTTACCACTTAAACATCATTAAAGCATGTCGTTTGTTAATACATTCCGCCTATTGATCGTTTCATAGATAGACGAATGAAAAGGTGCAAATTTTGTTAATTGATAAGAATGAACGCGATTAACATCAGGAAAAGAGGGAAAAAGAAGAAGTTCTGTGACATCAACAACAATTTACATACCATAACCTTGGTATGGCATATTAGGAGGTGGCGCACCGTAAGCACCTGGAGCTCCTCCTGTATATTGAGGCGCATATTGATAGGCTGGTCCAGCTGTAAGCATAAGTTGTGGCTCTTGAAGAATTATTGGCTTATGTTCAGTGTTTTCGCCTTCCTTTTCACGCTCTGCATTGGCGGCTTCGAGTTTATCCACTTTTGTTGTATACTCCCTTATCACCTAAAATATCCAATTTGTAATTTAAAATTGAACGAATAAAGAATTTCTATTGAACTTACATTAATCAAGAAGGGCATTGCAAAGTCCATAATGTTGTGCCTCCAAGCTAATTCAAGAATGACATCAGGTCGCAGAAGATCGTAACACTAAGCAAAAGAAAGTTTTTATTAAACTTCAGATTAATTAACTTTTTAACTCAACTTACTGTATAGAGACATGCAGCAAAGCAATCTTTAGCACCACGTTCGAGGAACCATTGAAGAAGTTCTTCTGCTATCTCTTGTTGATGAGATTCTGCAGCATATTCCATGGCGTCCTTAAATAAGCGATCTTTTTTGCACAATTCCACACTTTGCTTCCAACGGTTGTTGCCTGAGGAAATTTTAATTGTTTAAATAAAAATGTCATTAGAAATTGAAAGTTTTAACAAACCTTTGTAGAGATAAGCAGCAATACGACGGAATTCAGTCAATTCATGTTTCTCCAATTTCTGTGCCAAGGCAATATTGTCAAAGTTATCGAAAGCATCGATTGATGTTCTTAAACCTTGATAATCTTCTTCGTCGATTAACAATCCATTAAGTGCTTCATTAATTGCTTTGTTATTTAAGCTCTGAACTGAACGCAAATAAGGTTTTACAAGTTGTAAATGTCCAGTTTTTGTGAAAAAGTTAACAGCACGTGTGTGATCCATTCGTGGAGTCAAAACCAAAAGCATGTCGTTCAAAAGTAATGGTTTGTAGTCCAAATAAAATTGAATCGCTTTATAATAAAGCTCAATGTTGGCAACTTTTGTGATGATGTCTTTAAAGTGCCCCTCGCGCCATGCTTCAGTTGGATGTGCCATCATAGCAAGAACTGCATTGTCGTATTCTTCATATTTATCATAAAGGAAAACAAGTTCACTCCACAAGTGAGCAGATTCAGCGGCACGTAAAACTTTTGGGATGTTGACACGTGACCAGAACAGTTCGAGATGTTCACGCATCTTCGCTGGTTTATATTTGGAATATAAAATTGCCAATTCAGTGAACATTCCCATGTGGGCACGTTCAAGTCCAAGAGCAGCTTCTAATAATCCAATAAGTTCCTCGAAGTATCCACGATCTTGATAGTAATTAATTAAATCTTCAAGCTCGTCAGCATGAACGACAATATGAAGGCCACACATTTGTGCCAAACGGAATTCTTCCGAATCAACACAAGCAAAGCAAACTTCCTTCCATGTTCTCGTTGAGTTAGCTTTGCGTGCACCATCAACAGCACCTTGAAATTCTTTCAAATGAACCAATGTGATGGCCAAACGAGCAAAATTACTGACATTGTTGTAAAGTAATTTGGCAGCTTCATACATTTTATCATTGAAACAACGATCGCCAATTTTCTGAATGTCTGCATGATTGGGACCGCTGATGAACTCTTCAAGATCTGCCAAACGACCAGTTCGTGCATAAGCATAGATCAGTTCACTTTCGATGTAACTTTCACGCGCCTTCTTGCGAGCCATTTGCAAATATCTCACCAAATCTTCCCACGATTCATTCTTGCTTGCAACATCAACAACGTCAATGTAAGCTGATGGATCATCGGCTTTTATGTAACTGTCAATTGCTTCTTTCACCAAGCCTTGTTGTAATTGAGCTCGTCCCAATTGTGACCAAACAGCCGACTCATTGCATCGTTCAGCAAACTCATAAGCACGTTCCAGATTGTTAAGTTGTTCAATCAATACCTGAATGGCACTTGTGTTGACCTCAAATTTCTTGAAGATTGCGAAAGCTTCTTCATACAAATGACTGTTGATAGCGATGTTGGCAATATCTGGTGCATCGTAATTATCCAAACGATTTATGTAGTCCATGACGCGTGTACAATCAGCTTTGATTGCGGTCAAAATCAACAAGTTCTGTAAATTGCGATGATCAGAGAAAACTGATGAATCTAAAACAATTTTCTCAAGTAACTCAATCAATTCGTTCGGCAAATCAGCAGCCATGAAAGCTTTCACTGTAACTGAGATGTCTTCAGTGTCTTGAGTTTCTGATAAAGCTGTTTGAACGACTTGGTCAATGAGTTGTCGTTTGTAGGGATTTGCTTCAGATAAAACTTCAGCCCATAATTCTGGATCCTTTCTTTTAACCAAATAACGAGCTTCGGTTTTAAACAGAGAATTTTCATTGCAAACAGCAATCAATTCACGATCGCACATTCCACGTTCATAAGCAACACAAGCCAAGTGCGGATCTCGCTTCTCGCAATATTTACCGACAACTTGACTGTCGTAATATTGATTTTCACGTAAGAATCTTTCAGGGTTGTTATTTGAGTCAATATAGATTTTCGCGAGGGCGTTATGTGTTGCTGGTTCGATGCATCCTTCATGAACACGCGATTCCAACCAAGGTAACAACAATTTCAATCGATTTCTCTTTTCAACTTCTTCAACAAGTTCATCTGTTGAGAATTGTCCTTTCACGACGAGAATTAAATTCTTAATGATGTCTTCGGAACAATCAACGTCCAATAATCCACCGACAACAACAGGTAAGCGCGATGGGTTCACTTTTTGAACATAAATCTCAATATACTTTTGTAAGCTGTTTCGGTATAAATACAAGACCAAATCGTGGACGAAATCGAAACGATCACAAACAATAATCAATGGAAGTTGATCACTTAACTTTGCTTCTTTTAAAAAGTTCTTAACACGTTCAGGATGATAGCAATTTGATTCACGACAAATTCTCTCAACTTCTTTGATTTGATTTGTTTTGCATGCAGCTTGAATATATTTGAAATGAACTTCTGAGTCTTGCGAGAAGTTGACAATTGAGCCCAGGAAGTAAAACAATCCTTCATAGCTCTTGAATGATTCAAACAAATCAATGAGTCCCTTCGTTGATAACTGCTCGTGATATTTTGTAGCAATTTGAACGCAAATTTGCAAGTTTTGACGAATGTTTGCTGTCAACATCGCTTTGAGACATTCCAAAGAGTCTTCAACTGATAACGTCCCAAAGAATCCGACAAGCCAGTCACCATTCAATAAATGAGTGTGAACAACCGCCCGTTTAATGTCGTACAAATCAGTGTAATGTTCCAAAGCCCGTTGAAGTAATCCAGCTTTCTCACAAAGTTGAGCGATGTGCGCTCGATCATAATGAGTGAACATAGCATTACCCAAAATTGCATCAGCAACCTGTGGTGCTGACAACAAATTCATTTCAAGTAAACGAGTCTGTAATGGACCTTCAGTTGGACGATTGTGTTTCAAAGCATCCAACAGGAAAGCTGTGCACTGTTGAACCATGTTTTGTTCCATGAATATGTCCACAATTTGATTTATATCAGCTAAGGGCTCTTCATCAGCAACAAGCATCGCAGCAAAACCCGCACCTTGTTCAGGATTTGTTCTCATCACCGAGCGCAATAAGAAGACATAGTCAGGCGTGTAGTTGACTTTCTTTGCATACAAAACAATCTTTTGGAACTGCCCAGTTTCGGCGAAACATTGAATAACTTTGTTGGGAACATTGGAACGTAAATAAATGGACAAAGCTAATGTTGGATCGGTTGGCTTTACTAAATCTCCAAGTTCTTCACTGCATTCAAGTTTTTGTTCTTTCAACCACTTCTCACAAAGTTGAATTCTTCCTTGAAGCAACACGGGACGACACAATTCAAGTGACTCATATTTGTTGAGCTTTCCTTGATCCAAAAGAATGCCAAAATATTGCAGTAATGGTGGTGATGTACTTCCAGGTGGCGGCTGAACTTGTTGGAACTTTTGAATGGTTTGCGGTGTTCTTAAAATTCCTTTCGGTGCCACAGCTGCAACTTTTGCTGCTTCTGCATATTGAGCGTTTGAAAACAGTTGATTGAACTTCCTGACAAACAAATCTTCAGCGCCACTCAAGTTATTTCTAACTGCCATTCGTAAAGCAAGATCTGGATTTTGTAATACCGTCGTGATGTAAGGAATGATTTGCTCTTCATCAACCGTCACTGAAAGAACTTGGCCTTTACGATTAACACCGATAATTCCACCACTTGCATCATGTGGTGCTGTCACAAAAATGGTCTCAGCAGAGATGCGATTCATGTAAATACATGTACCAGTCTCAATGTCATAAAGATGAATATATCCGTACTTTGTGATTAAATAGATGACATCATATTTAGCGGATGTTTGCATAGCAACTGGAAAATCGTTGCTAGCTTCGGGTGGAAAGAAGACATCGACAGTTTTCTTAGTGAATGGTTGATTGTCAGTTGGTGGTGTTCCGACTTCGATGATGTGTAATTTACCGCCAGTTGGTGTACGAACGGCAAATGAGAATATGATCGATGGCTCTTTATTGCCCTCCATTTGGAATGTTGTGAAGGCAGCTGCATGACCCTCAATTGCTTGCGACACTTTACGTTCAACCGAGTAAAGTTGCATTGCACCAACAACTCGATTTTGCAGAGCAGAGATGCCGACAAGAAGCAGCCAAGACTGCTTTGGATCCGTACGATAATTAATAATTTGACAATTATTAAGCGACGAATGACGATCGAACATCTTAACAGGTTGTGAATCTCCTTCCATCGACCAATGATAGACGCACGTTTCGGTGACCAACGAAAGCGTATTGAGAGAAATCCATTTCCAGAAAACGACGTCTTCTGCCATGGTGTGAGCTTTCATCTTTGATTTCATTTCGATATTGAAGATTTGAAGTGTCTTCTGAGCCTTAAGTGCGATGACTTTACTAGCTGGATTCATGATGGCTGAATCGGCACTTATCGGACGACGAATTGGATTCGATGAATCGCTCATATCGATGATGACAACCTGCGCCGTTTCACCGACTTTCTCGCGAATACAGATGAATTTATCCGATTCCATCGTCAAATTACTGAACGATATAGAAGTTGCTTGTATACCAACATTTGTGAGCTAAAAAAAAGTTAAAATCATTATTTGCTTGAATCTTTTAAAATTGTTTGCCATCAATAAATCATCCTGTTATCAATTTCTTCGCATGACTTTCTTATGATCCCAAAAAATGACAATGATAAGAAGGAAAAGTTCTCAGTTTAATGAACTTTTTAGGAAAACAACATCTATAAAGAACGAAAAACTCATCAAACAAGAATTTTAAAATGTGATTCCATGTGTGACAAAATATTAAGTCAGCAATGGATAAAAAAATCTTTTCTGTTTTAACTTTCTCTGGTTTTTTTATTTCGGGGCGTCATGCAATGATAATTTTGCTGAATAATGAATATAACCAAACATTTCATCTAAACTTTTGTTTTACAACACCACACAGATTCTTTTAAGTCAATAAAAATATTTGAAACTTATCTACAGATAAGTGAAAGCTTATGAACATCACGAATATTATGAAATTTTAAGCTTTCATGTTATAAAAAGCGATAAATATAAATAAAGTGCGGCAATTATTTGATAAGTACAATTTGTTAGAATTTATTATAGTTTCGAATATGCAATTCTACTGACACACTTTATTTTCATTGAGATTATAAATAAACTTTGTTCTTTAATCTGACAATAGTAAAAGAAACTTAAATAAAAAGAGAATCAAATCGTAAACAATCATAAGTAGTAAAAACGAATCAGCCATTCATATTTAATTGAATTACAAGCAGCTCTACGATTTATTTCTGTAAATTTCCATTATATGTCGCTGGTTACTCATACGTATCCGGTAATTGATATCAACTTATCTTTGAATTCTCTTGCTCTTAAAGTTCCGTTAAAATATGAGAACGATTGCGATTGCAAATTTTATGCTACGAAATTTATACACTATAAAAGAACTGTTTAATGACTACTTTATAACGCTGTTTTCTTTCTAGCCGGCTAATTACCATTTCTACGTGGAGTTTCTTCTCACGACTGTATGTTTAGAAAAAAAAATCACAGACACTGTTAGATTGTTGTCCACTTTATATCTTTTCATGAATCATCGAATTAAGGTTCTCTTTGAGTTTTATATTTACATACATTTAAGTCATGAATAGAAAGTAAAAATAACATCGACTTATTTTAGAAAACTTCTTCGTTGTACACATTTTTATCAAACTCCAAAAGAAGACATTGTTGCCAGCTTGAAATACTATCATTATCATCATTATTTATTTAGTATTCTGCAGTCTAGAATTTATTAAATTAATATTGTAAAAGTTTGTTTTTTAATTTGTGTGAGAATCGATAATGTTTTTCTATTTTATAGATCTTAACAGACAGAAACGCATTTGCAAATATTTTCTGAAATTTATGACTTCATAATATGAATCGTGTTCTAATTTAATTAATAAATAAAAAACGATAAGAGAAAAAACGACCAAGTAAAATAAAAATATAAAATCAAACTGATGCGCAAGTGTCACAGTTCACTATTTATTCACTAACATGCAAAGATGAATCATAAGTTACTGACGATTATAAAATTTGTATAGATAAATCAAAAGTAACTAACTTTTTTGCGTCAGAAAGATAAAATTCTGATAAATGGCAAAAGGTAAATGAATGAAGCTTGTAACATATTTTTGCAAGCACAAAACCATTAAAGATTTTTTTCTAGGAATTAATTTGAAAATATTCAAAATGTTTGTGTTGTTTCCTTAAAAAATAGAAGAACTATCTAAAATACCACTGCTGTGGCTCGTGATTCATAATCAATAGGGGCGTCATTTTTTTGTGATGTGGATCATAAAAAATGATGGGCTTAAGGAAAAAACAAAATTACCTGTAAATGCTCTTGAAAACGAATCGGTAGAGCCTGAGTCATGATGGAATCTTACTTCCTTTATCCTTATTGTATTGAATATAAGTTTTAAAGTATTTTAAATGGAACAAAAACCTTTGAAAATAAATTTTTCGTTTTTCTTATTGCTCTTTTGAAAACTTTTTGACCGAATTCAAAGTGTGCTGCTTTCCAACTATTAAGAGTGCTGAAGTAATGATTTTTCAAAACTTATTTTTCAGTTTTTTACACGAATTACGGATTGCGCACAAACAAAAACATTTAATTATTACAAATTGACCACTTATTTGAAAATCGTTTATGTTTTCACTTCTCTTTTAATTGATTTAAACACTGAATTCTTTATTTTTCAGGCATTGAGTTTTTTGCCAAATCGACACGATTTTTCAATGCAACATTGTGATAACTCCTCAAAAATCGGTTATTTTTAAATGTTTGCGGTTTATCATACTTAGATTCCCTGTATCTGAGATCGCGGGCCCCAATTTTCCGAATTTTTTATTTGTGATAAAAATACACAATGATTGTAAACATGACAGATAAATTATAAAGTTCTAACTATTTTTAAATTGTAAACAATTCATTAATCCATGATCACTCGCTAAAAGTTCCACCAAAAAAATCACACTTCAATTACATAAATATTCGCTTCATAAAACTTTCTTCAAATCGTCAATTAAAAAAGAAAAACAATGTTTCGCCAAAAATGCTCTTTTCTCTTTGTACAACGAAGCATTACCACATCATGTCATCTCCACAAAAAGGGTTCATCAGTAAGCTTAAACAAACAAGTAAATATGCTGAAAAAAATAATGTCTGGTCGTGAAAAAGGGAATAGGCGGTGGAGATATAGCACAGAATTACCTAAATTGGAAAGTGCTAAAAAACTGACAGATGGAAAAGGACCACAGAAGCAAAATTTAAAAAGAATAACAGTTTTAAACAAATTGTTTATGAAGAATATAACAGATATGATGGCCACTGATAAGTTCTGTCGTGATCTTGTTGGTTATGGAGTGCAGGTTGGTAAACATTAGTGATTTTATGTTTAAGAGGGAAATACATTATTCATTTTTCTTCTAAGGTTTCATTAATAAAAGTCGCTCCAGATTTTAATTCTCTAAATGTTTTTTGGCTTGCCAAAGGAGATCAAAATGATGATAAAATTGCGGACATATTAAAATCGATTGCTGGTCCATTGCGGCATGAGCTGTCACAACTTCGGTTGATGGGAGAAGTACCTCGAGTTTATTTTGTTAAAGATAAATATCACTCTAAATTAGTCGAAATTGATAATCTCCTACAAAGAGCTGATTTTGGAGAAGATTTTGTGCCATCGGATCCAACACTGTTTAATCATAAGAATGAACCGCAGTTATTAACAAAATTAACTGAAGATCTAAAATCAAAAATTTTTGAAATAGAAGAGAATGCACAAGATAACATAGAAGACAATGACGATGAGTTACCTGAAATGCGGCATGATGCTTTAGGAATCGACCATTCTGCAATCATGAAAAAAATAGCAGTAAATATTGAAAAAACAAAGAAAGCGTGGGACACACTCGAAGTCAGAAATGAAACCTATCTTGCATCTGCTGTTCCAACACGAGACATTCAAGCAGTCAATGATGAAATTGACAGACTTAACAAAGAAGTTGTTGTTCGAGAAGAGTTTGTTAAATATTTGGAACAAAAGCAATATAAAAAGAAAAAAGATCCAAATAGATATAGAAATAATTTAGAAAACGAAGACATCCAAGATGATGACGAAGATTACAATTCTGACATGTTTGATGAAGACTTTATCGATGAAGATGAAATTAAAAAATAGCTATGTAGCAATAAAAAAATGAATTAAAGTTTTATAAAATGTGGTATTTTATTTTGTATCTTAAAATTGGAACGATTGAAAGCTGACATCAATTATACCACGTCTGAAAATATAAAAATGGTTAAATATTAATAAAAAGCATATAAAGTAATATCTGATGAACATTTTTATAATAAGTGTTATCAGTTGGAAATTATTCAAAATCATCGTTTGATCATTCGAAAGATGGTGATTAATTTAATTCATCATTAATTTTATAAAATTTAATATTCATGATATCATCTCTTACCTTCTTTACTCAAAGAGACCGAAGCCCATATCATCATCTTCCTCAGATTCTGATTCAACCTTCTTCTTCTCTTCTTTCTTTTCCTCTGCAGCAGCAGGAGCAGCACCTAAAATAAAAAAAATTTAGTCAATTTACTTTGTAATATTAAGATCAATGAAACATACCAGCAGCAGGTGCTGCAGCAGCTGCACCACCTCCAGCAGGCATTGAGGAAAGTTTCTCACGTCCTTGAGAAATCAACTCCTCAATAGATTTGCCTTTGAGTTCACCAATAATTTTGGTAACTCGAGCAGCGTCCACTTCTACTCCAACTGAAGATAAAATTTTTTCGAGGTCAGCATTTGATGGACTGGCGTTTCCTCCGAGGACAGCAAGTAAGTAAGCAGCGACGTAACGCACTGAAATAAGTTACGGTGTTAATTGATAATGCATATTTCGAGTCTAACCTCAATTCGCATAGTTTCAGTGCATTCAATATTTGAATAAACTTTTTTCGAATTCGTATGCCGAATTTATGTTGTAATCCATGTTTATAACATATTTGAAGTTATAATTAATCGTTTGCTTACTTTTTTAAGTCGTTGACACGAAACTGTGCACTGCAAAAATAATTTTTATACTTTTAGCGTGTAGTCGCTTTGAAATATTCGTGAAAAGAAAGAATGAACTAAAGTCTCGATATATAGAAGAAAATGAAATTGTAAAGTCTCGATATTCTGAGCACGATTTAGTTTGCAATGTTTTCAAAAAATTAAAACTTTCTCTGTTTATTTTAAGTTTTAAGCTTTTACTGATGAATTTTATAAGATAATTTTAATGTCTTTATCAACGTTGGCACCACCTTCGCCGGTGAACAAGATTTGGAAAGTTGATTGTAAGTTCATAAAATTGTTCTTCCCTACCTTTTTAAAAAATTGGGATTTAATGAAAATACAAAACCAGTTTTTTTGTGTAACATTTAATACTGCTATTTTAACAATCATAGATTGTTTGAAATTACGGTCGTGGTTAATGTTAAGAAATTTTTTGCCGTCTTAAGAGACAATAAATTTTTAAAGTTTGTTTGTGACGGAATGTACAGTTCTCCCCATTCAAATCAATCTTTGATCGCTCCATAGAAAAGTCACAGAAATTATAAGATAAAACAAAGGTCTTATCTAGATATAATTTCAATTAGCTTTGTCATTATATAATTTAAAGTTAATGATAACATAAAAGTGATATAAGAGGAGTTCTTAAAAGATTTTTTAAAAATATATAAATTTAGCTACGAAATTTTGGAGATTAATTCAGCGTCTTGAAGGTCATCTAAATTTCTAATAGAATAAAATCACAGTGGTGTTTGAAGAAAATAATGAGTAAAACTCTGAATTTGAAGGCAGCGTTTGCAATCGCTGGTGTTTTTGTTGGTTGTTGCAGTAATGTCGTTTTTCTTGAATTATTGGTTAAGTGAGTAGCTGGTATTATTTTCCACTTTATTCAATTAAAAACTGAAAATTTTTATTTTTAGAGCCGATCCAGGCTCAGGAAATTTGATTACTTTTCTTCAGTTTCTCTTTATTGCTATACATGGATTCATCTTTACCGCGAAATTTGGCACTGTCAAGCCAAGGATCGGCCTCAAAGATTATACATTTTTAGTGGCAATGTTTTTCGTATCAAGCGTTTGCAACAATTATGCCTTTGATTTCAACATTCCCATGCCACTTCACATGATTTTTCGAGCAGGATCTTTGATCGCAAATATGATTATGGGAATCATTATTCTGAACAAACGCTACGAATTTTCAAAGTACCTCTCTGTGTTTATGATCACACTTGGAATTATTGTTTGCACAATCATCTCAGGGTCAAACGTGCAGAGCACTCAAGTCAATCAAACAGAGGAAAGTGCTTTTAGCGTCTTCTTCTGGTGGACCCTTGGCATTACATTATTGACTATCGCCCTCTTCATATCAGCCAGAATGGGATTGTATCAAGAGGTTCTCTACAAGCGTTATGGAAAACATCCAGATGAAGCTCTTTTCTATACACACTTGCTTCCTCTTCCATTCTTTTTAATACTTTACAACAATATTTGGGAGCACTCTGTGATTGCTTCAACTTCAGATCCATTCCCAATACCAGTAATTGGATTTGAATTGCCTTACATGTGGCTTTATTTAATTGCTAATGTTCTTACTCAATATCTTTGTATCAGTTCAGTCTACATTCTCACTACGGAATGTTCATCGTTGACAGTGACGCTTGTCGTCACGCTTAGAAAGTTTGTTTCCCTTCTGTTTTCAATTCTTTACTTCAGAAATCCATTCACAATTTTTCATTGGATCGGAACTATTCTTGTTTTTGTTGGGACTATCATATTTACAGAAGTTATTCCAAGCGTGCAAAAATCTTTTAAGACTCAAAAATCAACAACAACTTCACCTAAGAAACCAAAAGCAAACAAAACTGACTAATTCATGTTATTTTAATCCATGCACCATTTTATAACTTTTTTGATATTTATGTGAAAACTTTTGAATGCCTAATTTAGAAGAAATAAAAATAAAATATTTCGGGGTCAGTGACATAATTCAAAACCATAGAAAATTGAATCTATATGTGTAGAAAATATTTATCATAGATATGTTGCTTTTCATGATTTTTCAGTACTTCAACTTCAGCTTGATGCACCTAAACCAAGACCAGTGATATGCTCAACTGAGTTCCCTGATAGACCAACTTTTTATGGGCTTGAATATCATGGAGAAATTGATCACAAGAAGACTGAAGAGATTTTTCAAAATCGTCAAGATGGGGAATTTCTAGTTAGGAAATCACCAGGCAGTGTCGACTTTTATACATTATCTATGAAATTTGATGGAAAGACGAAACATTACAAGATTTATTTCAATACAAAATATGGACATTTTCTTAAAGAAGACTTTAAAAGATTTGAGACGATTCAAGATCTTGTAGCTGATGGTCTTGTGAATTTCTATCTTCAAAAGCATGCTGCACCAATCATTCAACAAATGCTTGTTCAGACAAAAAATTCATTCCAACAAAGTCCTTACATGACTTTAAATCGAAGAAAGTTGCGTGCAATTTCAAATGAACTAAGACGATCACTAAAAGTTCAGGAAATCATCGACAACAATTGTAATACAAACGGAAGTGGTTTAAATATATGTGATGAAAATCAACCTTTATTGATGCCTGATAGTGTTGAAGCAACTGCAATTAATAACAATAATTTTAACATTTCAAGTCAAACATCAGATCAAGAAAATGAACCATTACCAGTCGTCTACGAAAAGCTTCATAGATTTGTTATTAACAACTTCAAAGGCCTCAACTTTTGTGAGTTTTGTGGAAATTTTTTATGGGGATTTACAGCGCAAGGTGTGAAATGTGAAGATTGCGGATTTATTGCTCACAAAAAGTGTTCGGAATTAGTTCCAGCTAAATGTGTGCCTGATTTAAAGAAGATTCGTGGCATTTTTGGAATTGATTTAACAACAATTGTCCAGGTTCATAAGTGTCAAGTTCCATTTATCATCATCAAATGTGTTCAAGAGGTTGAAAAGCGAGGATTACAGCAAGAAGGAATTTATAGAATTTCTGGTTTCGCTGATGAAATTGAAACATTGAAATTAGCGCTTGATAAAAACGGTGAAAAAACTGATATGTCAGAAACTGCATATTCAATCAATGTTATTACGGGAACTTTAAAACTATATTTAAGGTTGCTTCCTATCCCATTAATTACTTTCCAAGCTTATCCAAAATTCATTGCAACAACAAAAGAGAAATCTGAAGGTGATATGGTACACAAGCTCAAAGAAGCCGTTAAAACATTGCCAATTTCACATCACAACTGCTTGAAATTCATGATCAACCACTTGAATCGGTAAGTTCACGATAAAAAAAATTCAAATCCGACCTTAACTTTGTTTTACTTTTATCCCTCAACAGTGTCGCATCACATCAAACAATAAATAAAATGACAGAGTACAACCTTGCGACAGTATTTGCACCTACGCTGGTGGCTACACCACCTCATCAGCTGACTGATTTGTCACAAGAAATTCACATGCTCTCGATGATGATTAAGTTCTGTCAAACAATTTTCAATCAATCTTCATAACAAACTCCGTATCAAATTAGTCTTTAATACTTATGTTGTGTCGTCCCTTTAATGTTGTGAACAAATCTCGATAAGATGTAATCTTTTCATGTATTTATAATCTTTCTTAAAGTAAAAAAACAATCCAGTAAATTGATGTGATAAATAAACTTCTTTTTTGTATCAAATATTTTTGATGATGGAATGAGAGAATATTTTCGTAATTAGTTCATTGTTTTGAATCAATAACACATATTTTTTATCGGAACTTTCAACACACATCTGACACGTACAAAACAGATGACATCACCCTTATAATTTCGACATAGCTTCCTAAGAACAACGAGATCATTTTAATTCATCAAGACTTTATGTAGATGTTATCGATTATAATCATAGATAATGAATAAACGTCCATTTCATAATCTCACCAATATTACTTATAATAATTAGGCAATTCAATGAGATTAAGTAAAATAACTAATTTTATAGCAAAAGAAAAACATAATTTCACATAAATAAAAGATCTTGTTACACAAATTTCATACATAATTTAATAAATCTTTTGAAATTTATTTCGATAATTTACAGGGATGTCATAAGGATTCTTATCTAACAAATTTATTCACAATTTGTGATATATTTAGTTATATAGTAAAAACTAATTCCAGCAAAACAANTAATTAAGTGATATTCAAGAATTATTTTCAAAACTATTTTAACGGTCAATGAGAAACATGAAGTGACTGAAAGTTTATAAACCGAATGCAGCAGATTTTGTCATTAATAATAATCAATTAATTAATTTAATAATGTTTTGATTCTATCATCCAACCAATTTTAATTTTGCTTGAGCTGTTGCAAATTCCAATTAATTTCACGTCTAATTCAGCGGCAAAAGTCTTCGTAAAAAGTTATCAAACCTGTCACATAAAAAGTTCTTCTTGAATTTTCATCACCTGTGGAAGATTTTTCTTTTGTGTTAAAGTAAGCTCGAGTCGTAAGTCGTAAAAGAAAGAATATCAGAGGAATGAGACAATATGAAGTCGGCGATTGATCAAAAGCATCCGTTAAATAAGATTTTGTTTATTTTTTTTCTTTGGGAAATCCTCTGATATTTACTGAGACGTCATCATCTTAACTTAGATAATCTCTAATATTTTCGCCACCTGGTCTAAGTTATCACGAGTCAAGGAAAGAAGATTTAAATTCTCAATCTTTCAGGTCTTTGCCTTTCTCGTCTTGATCACACAGAGCGTTTGGCTCGTGTCAGGCATGGCAATGTCAGGTATGATAATGAATAAAGAGAAAAAAGTATTCATTAATGGTGATGCGGTGATATACAACGCTGATTAAATATTCTTCCCTAAATATCCTTAACAATCTTTTTTTCTTAAATATTTAAAGATGATTCATCGACATAACCGCGTCACTATTATTGGAAACTTGCTTACAAAGATACAAACCTACTTATTTATAAATATTTCGTTAGATAAAAAAGACCTGCTTTGCTTTTCATTTCTTAGATTGTGTAATTTTTTTTTTAATTTCTTTCTTTATATACAGATGCAGAATGTGAGCCAAGTTCATGTGGCAAAAACACAAAATGTGAAGTTGTTGATGGACGAGCAATATGTTCATGCCTCCCAACTTTCATAGGTGATCCTTTTAAAGGCTGCCTTCACGAATGTGAAGCTGATGTTGATTGCGCAAAGCAACAATTCTGCAGCAAATGGGAATGTATCGAGGCATGTACACAATGTGGAAAGGGAGCAGTATGCACTCGTGTGGTAGACCACAGTGCAGTTTGTACATGTCAAGAGGGATATTCTGGAGAACCACTCAAGGAATGCCTCCCAGCGGAGTGATTTATCACAAGAAATTTACATGCTCTCGATGATGATTAAGTTCTGTAAAACCATTCGATTAAAATATCAATTAATGGTCAGTTTTTTAAAATTTTGACTTTGAGAGAATAATAAAAAATTAATGAAAGTAATGTCGACAGCACATTTTACTGATTTTAATTTATGTTTAGAATGTGGCTCCATATAAAATGATATGGCCATAATTTGATCACGAAAATGTGTGAGCAAATGTTTTAATAATTTCTTTATTACAAACTATTATGAATTTCTCTATCATCTCTTCTGCACATAATTTCCTATCATTTAATACAATTGAAGAAGTAAACTAACTCAAACTGATGCACTTTTTTGCATCTTGAAAAATTGAAGTGAGAAGAAAAAATGGCTGATTTCGAAACAGAATTTCTACGACGAAATTAAATAATTTATTTTGGGAAAATAAACTTATTTAAAGGCCCAGTGAGTAGCCTAAAATGAAATTTACTTTCAAA